GGCTGAAGACGGCTGACCATGTGACATGCGGGCGGGAGTAGTGACAGTCGGATGGGCTCTATAGGCGGACCATGTGACATGCCGGCCAGAGTAGTGACAGTCGGATGGGCTCTATAGGCGGACCATGTGACATGCCGGCGGGAGTAGGGACAGTCGGATGGGCTCTATATGCGGAGTGCCGTCAGGTTTGACTGTGCGCTGGTTTTTTGGTTGGTAAAATAAAAAGAGAACAAAGTCGCCACAGGCAAGAAATATGAAAATAAACTTGAAGGGGAGGGGGGCTGCGCTCCCCCCCTTTCTTTGTCCAAATGTCAGACAGCTCCGGGGAGCCTCCTGGCTTGTGATCGCCGTGTCAGTGACACTGAACACAAACTACCTCCAGGCAAAGCCTTTGTAGGGCTCGGAGTCTGTACCTGCCCAGGGGCGGGGGGGGCAGGGGTTCCGGGTCGCTTTTTAAGACTGGTCAGCCTATATTCTGCGGAATCCTTCCTGTTTCATGGCATTGTGTGTTGTCTCTCCTCTAGCAGATGCACATAATTCGCTCTCACAGCTGGCTCATATTAATCAAACCAGAAGCCACCGCCAACCAACCTTACAGCCCCCAACAGCGGGCGACCGCGGCAAAACTGCACATCTGTCTGTTCATTCCACGACTGAGGGAGGGGGCGGCTTTATAATAATTTGTCTGAAATGTTTTTTTATAATAAAAATGTCTGAATAATTACATTTTAAATGTCTGTAAACCCAACCAGTAAAATCTCATATAAGCTATTAAAAGTGTCAAAACGTTTTCAATATCTTCAAATCTGCAGCTTCCATTTAAATAATCCCAGGGTGATGCTGCCATGAAGGCCACTTCCTGTTATAGGGTGACAACGCTCTGTCTTCCAATTGTGCTCCTGCGTTGTCCCACAGAGACTACAAGCGGCCATTTCAATAAATTTTACGCTGTCACAATCTAGTGTTGTCACCATCAGAAAACCAGCCCTGAGCAATGCCACTCAGCCACCACCGGAGTGCATGTAGACAGGAAGTGCCTGCAAAGAGGCTGCATGAGATTAGAAGTGCAGAGTTGTAACTGAGGATGTAAAATAAGTGAAAACAATGCTAAAATGTTAAAAGACAAATCACCACGCAGTATAAAATGCCGATACGATCCACGTACGCATGCGTGTTTTGCACCATCCATCACACAGCGGTGCACGGCTGAGGCACGCGGAACATTTAAAAGAAGAAAAAAAAAACACACCTCAAAGTGCACAAATTTCTGATTGGCTGCAAGGGGTCATATCAACTGACGGCTGATTGGCTGCGATTACGGCACTTTGCATGATGGGCTTTGTTGTAATCAAAGCCAACACTGTTCCAATCATAACATATTCTGTCCAATGATTTTTTTATGTCGCGTTGTATACAGACCGTTCCAGCTACTGCTGAAATGTTACATTCCGGTTCCTGGAACGCCAAGATATAAACTCATTGTGCCACGTCCGGTTCATTTAGGGTTCCCACCAGATCCTGGGCCTAATAATCGCCAGAGTTACCTGTAGGTGAACATTATGCTGCCAGTTCCCTCCCTTGTCCACCCTGTGTCTTCAGTCGGTCACATCCAAGGGAGAAAGATAGCGGCCTCTACTTCACCTGAGAAGCCGGAGGGGTGCGTGGCTCTCCGCGGGAGATTCGGATGAATTCGCATTGTCGGATTGCTGCGGAGGAGATGAATTGTGCCGTGGTAGAGTCATCCAGCAGCTGCTGTTCGCTTTTCACCCAGGCTCTCCGAACCGCCGCCGTATGCGCTCCTTGCGTTTGTATTAGTGCCAATTAATCAGCGCTATTGTTGGAATTTGATTAGCAAACTATTGGCAAGGAAACGGGAACAATTGCTTTGTGAGTTTCATACCCCAGTACATCAAGAGCTTTGTGCAAAGTCAGGGTGCCCCCCACCCCCCCACTACACAACTTAAAGGGGGCTCCTACTTTACTTGATAAATCTCTTATTACTACAAAATAAAAAAAAACACCACTCCATGCAGCATTTTCATGCTGTCGCTTACCCTCGCCAGTATTCACAGTCTTGCTGCTTTTTGGTAGGGAAGGCAGTTTAAGCAGAGCCATGCCTACCTTTGTTTAGTGAAGGAGGCCAGCTTACTTGAATTTTAACACGTAATGATACTACGCATCATTTTTGTGACAGTGCCATTCACAAGTCATGGGTGGGGGCTTCGGCTGCGCCACCCAGCAAGATCTCCCGGCAGAAGTTTCTGTCTCTGCCTAACATAGACATCACTGCAAAGAATTCTGAACCGTCAAAGTGGGATTTCCCTTTAATTCATTCCACATTATTTCAGGTCTGATACAGCCTGCAATGGCGGTGCATACAGGGATAGGACGTCCAGAGCCCCCTAAAAGACAGAGCATGCTCAGGATAGGCCGACCTGGCAGCTGAAACCCGGTGCTTTACTTTAAGAATGCTTTTTATTCACAAGGATGAAGCTCCATGAAAGGACTGGAAATATCCTGCCGGAAGTTTATTCTGGTCTGTCCTTCGGATCTGGTCACTGGGACAATGAACTCGGATTGACAGTTGACCCCTGACAAGTGATGAAAGCCAGAAGAGACATATAGGCGAGAGCCACAGTCATCTTAAAAGTGGACCTGTCATTGGTGCATACACTACAAAGGAGAAGCAAGCTCAAGAACATCTCATTACATTGTCAAAATTGATTTTGGGTGTACCGTGGAGGGTCCCAGTCCCTAGGGGGAGTGCTTCATATAAATGTGGACTTCTAAGCTAGGGGCCAAGGCCAGCGCATCCCCCAACTTCTACAATAAGTGGGCACCTTAGCGAGGCATTGAGAGGTGGGCACACTTCATTAAGAACTGCAAGCGAATGCAAAGCGTGTTTTTAATAATTGTGCAGTCATACACTAATGGAACCCAAGATAACAGTAATACCCTGACTGAGGCTTTAATCCTTTCCCGCTGCATACAAAACTAAAAAAAATTTGGGCCGGACATACAGTTTAAGAGCGTGTGGGGTGTGTGGTGCACAATGGCGCGTTCTGTATGTTTAGACAGAAAAGATGTAGAGAGCGGACAGCTCTGACCCCAGCAGAGAGGGAGAGCGGGAGATAAGAGTCCATTGTCCTCTGAATCCGGACTCTGCACACAGGCAAAGTCAATGATTAAATTGCATTGTTCCGGCTTTCCTCCCACCACATTAATAAGTGTAATATTTACCGCGCCTCTTAACCCTTTCACTCCAGGACTCCTCACACTACTTGTCATTTAGGTGCAATCTTGCCGAACCTGCGCAGTGTGACAAGCAAGGTGACGATTGTAAGTGTTCAACAATGTTCTAGAATGCTTGAGAGTGATGCGGAAACTTCTAAAGAACAATGACCCAGGGGACCCGACTTCAGGACTGGTCCAAGAGGGACTTTTCAAGCTTTTTCAGTGTCCATATGAATAATTTTTCCTTAGCCAGGACTCGCCAACATCCCCTGAGATATATCAGCTTTAGGCCTCGTACACACAAGCGGTTTCCTTCAAAGTCTAATATTCGTCAGGCTCTAAGCATTTTCCAGCTAATGTTCCCCAAGGCTCTGTTCCCACCAGGGCATTTTGTCGCTGAAATCGAAGTGTGCCAAAATGCTCGAGACAAGGAATCCCATTAATTTCTATGGCCCCTGTTCACACCTGAGAGTTCTGTTGCACAATGTTTCCCATTGAAGTCTATGGGACCAAAAAGCACTGTAATGTGCCAAAAAGTAACTCATGTACTTCTCCCAGCGACAGATGTTTTTCTGCTTGCAACAAAACAGTCAGGTGTGAACAGGGGCCATAGAAATAAATGCGATTCCTTGTCTTGATCGCTTTGTCGCGTTCAAGATAAGCGAATTAGATTCCTCGTCTTGATCGCGTTGTCGCGCTCAAGATAAGCGAATGGGATTCCTCGTCTTGATCGCGTTGTCGCGCTCAAGATAAGCGAATGGGATTCCTCGTCTTGATCGCGTTGTCGCGCTCAAGATAAGCGAATGGGATTCCTCGTCTTGATCGCGTTGTCACGCTCAAGATAAGCAAATGGTATTCCTTGTCTTGAGCGTTTTGTCGCGCTTACCTTTGAGCGACATGGCGACTAGGGGACTTAGAGTTTCAATAAGATGGCCAGAAATATTTTCTGGAGCTCAAATGTTAAATCGAACAGTCGCTATCTACTATGCCACCTGTTCCGTAGGAGGAGGGTAGTTGAAATTGGTACATCTCACCTCATCACATCTTTTCCTCCATTACAGGCTTGATCACAAAGATCGGCCAGTAAGGGCTCATTCACACCAGCAGGGTTGTGAAGCTTCGCACAAAGCAGCCCAAACACCAGAGCAAGGCAAATTCCCTTTAGTTTTGGTATGAGCTGAAAAAATAAAATAGGCCACGTTGCTTTTTTGCACAGGGTGTTCCGACGCACCGTAGCGCATCACTACGTGCGCCAAAGCATAACAATTAAATATGAATCGGATAAAAAAGGAAGCACTGCAATGTGTTTCAAGAATTGTGTTATTACCGTGTGCTGTGTGGTGTGAATGAGCCCTAAACCACAGTCACTAAGCATCACTACTAGGCCGCGGGTCTGTGTATGCATTGAGTGAATGTGTCTGCCCCATGTACAAATATATCTACAATATTATTATTATATAGGATTTATATAGCGCCAACAGATTGGGCAGCGCTTTACAATATAAGGAAGACATTACAATCATAATACAATTCAAGACAAGATGGTAAGGAGGGCCCTGCCCTTGAGGGCTTGCAATCTAAAAGGGAGGGGGTAAGGAGGGACAATAAGAATGAACACACTGATAACAATAATAACATTGGGCTGGTCACAAATCACATTGATAACAACTTTGCTTAGACAATGGGGTTCCCCTTTAAGTAGGGTGATATGTTGACATTTTGTGCAGAACTCCCCCCTCCCCTTGCTCATTGTTTGGAGTCCTTACCTGTAGTTGGAGAGGCCCCAGGCCTGGCGTTGCCGCGGCAGCAGCTGCCATGGTAGTGGGAATCAGCTGAACGGGGTAGGGGTCACCTAAGTGAGAGAATAAGAGAGGCGTCATCACCTTTTATCTCCTCTCCACCTGCAAATTAAACTCCAGCATTCTCCGCTCGCAAAGCCGCCTTTTGTGTGCCGCGTACAGGCCTAATGAAAAGGACCATTGTGCTGCTTTTTTTTACCAACGCCGCGCACAATGGCAGCCGGGAGCGGCTGGTGGATAAAAGGCGCTAGGCAATTAAGGCGGAAACCTCATCCTTCACTGGTTTTCACTAATTTTATCTTTACTTTTTATTTTCACTGGGCGTTCAGGGCAAAACGGGTGAGCTGTGCGGACTGCAGCACACTTCGCCGGATCTGCTCGGAGGAAGGATCGGTTCTCCCGACGAGGTCGGTCTGTTATTGGAAAAGACCCTCGCCAGGAAAATCGATACAGAAAACTACATTTTTGGGGCCATTTTTCTATCAAATGTGCAATATTTTCACCAATCTCAACAGTCTAAATATTCACTCTTAAAGTGGACCTGTCATCAGATATATTATGCATAATAAGGGCAGCCTGCTCAGTAATGTGTCATTGTAACACTACGGCCTCATTCACACGGGAATGGGCCGGCACGTACAGCTCCGTGCTGTGTGTGTGATTAGTACACAGCCCCTGTCCTTCTCTATGGGAGTACGCGGCCGTACGCCACCCTACGCTCATCCGCCCTGCACGTATGTGTGGGAGCTGGTGTCCGTACCCGTACGCTGACAGGATAGATCCTGTCTGCGTCCGAGCCGGGGCACCCGCACCCGTACAGACCTGCATTGGGGTGAGCGTATTGCGGCGTACGGTCATTATCTACTTCCTGGACTAAGATGCCGGCTCAGAGATGACACAATTATTTAAATCCCGGTGACTGTGAAGTTCTTGTCTAATTCTTCCATAACCCCATTGTAACTGTCTAGTAATGATATGATTGTACAATGTGCATATTTTCTGTGCATGGCAGCATTGTTCGGCATCATCTGGTAACCACCCGCTCCCCTTTCTCTGCAGAAATGGGAAAGTTTGGTGCCTGCCTACATAGGCACATAGCAGCAGATCTGCATGCGATAATGAGAGCTTATAACAGTTATTGCTCCTCCTGGGGATGACCTACCCTGCCTTGTGCTGGTTTGATTGGAAATGTGTTGGAAACTTTCGGCCTATCACTGTGGTTAGACATTTATCTGTGCTAGCTGTACAAGACACGCTCTCCTATGACATAACAACTGACTGCACTATGGTCCTGAGTGACGTAGGCCCCTTGCTGTCACTATACGAACTGTCTTCTACGGACGGATTCTTTGACGTAAACGCCCCCTATAGAACGGCTCAAGGCGCATTTTAGTGAACTGCAATGATGCGATCAACGGGCGGATTAAATGCGATAAACTTGCAACTACGTGGAAAGGGATATTTAGGCTCTTCCCGCGCAGTGAATTGGGATCAGCGAAGCGTTTGCCCATTAAATTAGTGTGATATGATTATCTCTGTGCGGTCATACGGGGGCGGTCGGTGCGCAATTGATCCAGAAAACGTGTCCCGGCGAGCGCAAGGCCCTATTTCCTCCAGCGCAGCGACTCTCAGGCGCATCTATCGTCAGAGACAGAGCGGGACGCATATTGGGGATTTGTCTGAATGGGCTGTCATGAAAAAGTTAATTCTCTGATATTTACCAATAAACAGTTCAAACAACAAACACAACATTCCTCAGAATATCTACAGAAATACAATTTAGTAGTTTGAAAGTGATGCTTCAAGTTATAGGTTAGTACACCAGACTTCAGCTGCCAAATGCTTCAAAATGTTGCAGATTAATAGTAACAGTCCCATTCTGTAACCACCTTTTAAAGTTAAACCCTGAACAGGCATCATGGGTTCACACTGTGTCCATTATGAAGGGCTCCCACCATCCCTGTGATTTCCCGGGTCAGTACACCTGCTGTGACCAAAATATGGGGCTCTTACCATCCCTGTGCCGAGTTCCTGGGTCTGTACACCTGCTGTGCCCATTATGAGAGGCTCCCACCATCCCTGTGCTGAGTTCCCGGGTCTGTACACCTGCTGTGCCCATTAGGAGAGGCTCCCACCATCCCTGTGCTGAGTTCCCGGGTCTGTACATCTGCTGTGACCAAAATATGGGGCTCTTACCATCCCTGTGCCGAGTTCCTGGGTCTGCACAACTGCTGTGCACATTATGAGCAGCCCCCACCAATCGTGCACTGAATTTCCAGCTCTGTACACCTGCTGTGCCCATTATTAGGAGTTCCCACCATCCTTGCTCTGAGTTCCTGGGTCTGCACATCTGCTGTGCCCATTATGAGGGGCTCCCATTATCCCTGATGGATTTTTTCTTTTATCTAAATAAGAATACATAAGGAGGAGCTGGGACACCCCAAGATGTGTATTCACAGAGCTGGGAAATATAGCTGGAGCAAATTGCACCACTAAAGTCCCCAAATGATAGACAGAGAAGACCCCAGCCCACTAGATGCAGCCTGGAAGTGAAATCTCATTTTTGGGTGAGCTGATACTATAAGCACAGCATAAACACGAGTGGTCTTTCCCGTTGCGGCCGGATAATTTGATTTTACCGTCTAACCTATGCCAGTAGAAGGACGGCCTCAATAAGCTTGGTCGCTGGAGGCCACACAGATATTTTCCTTTGCACTATTTATAAGAAACATTATGTTACATTGTCCTACAGAGGAGATCTCTGTACACAGCCCGGCAGGAACATTATCTGGATAGTGCAATGATTCTTTACAATTAACCGAATCAGCGTGCGGTCTGAACCCTAAACGTCCTCGAGATGTTCCATTACCTGATGCTAATTAACACTGAAAAGGTTTTTAATTTGGCTGGTAAAACTAGAGAGTGTTTAACAGCAAGAACACGACTTAACGAAGATGACCCATCTAAATACTGGGGCTCCCATCAGGCATCGCTCTCCCACTTGGTCAGGTGGAGGGCTGTTCAATGATTTACAATCCTCAGCTCATTAACTTCCATAGGAGAACAAGGGCTGCGTCAGGCCTGAACCCCCATGTGCGGTCAGCCACACCAACATGCACGGGATGTAAATTGAGGGACCATCATAGATTAATTGCTGATCAATCCCACTGAGCTCTCACTGGATGTTCTCAGGTAACGTTTAGGCCTCACACAGCCCTCCGCTCTCCTGTCAAAGTTAAGGAGCTCAAGGATGCTATGCCTAATGATTTGTAGCTGCACCACAGCAGGAGGGCTGGCGTTTGCCTATCCTTTCTCTACTGGATTCATTATTTATTTGCTGTGTGTCCTAGAGATTGTCCTTTAATTCATGTCTTACGGACGCAACAGGAAGTGAGAGATAATCTCCCTGAAGTTACAGGTGTTCCCATTGGAAGACTTCCCTTTACATCCTGTTCTGGTGAGTTGGTCAATTAAAGAGAGTGAATCTCTCCAAAGAGGACACAGCCCATAGGAAACCCTTCCAGAATCCATCCACAGCTAAGAAAGATGCTTTGGCTTTACACCAGAGGTCAGCAACCTCTTCCACATTCAGGGCCCAATCACCTGGGCGCCATTAGGCAACTGACGTGCCAGTGCACAATAGCATATTGACGTCTTCGCTTGTTATTCATTTTTGCACTCATAGTTGTGCTGCTGGTAGCAAGCAAGTTCAACGCAATCATCAAATTATAATTAACGAGTTTAAGTTGCAATTAGCAGCAAATCTATGAGTGCAAAAATGAATTACATGGTACACACACAACATATTCGGTCCCAATGCCTTCACTTCAGACATCAGGTCAGCCCCAATCCATACACTTCAGATCAGCCCCAATATATTAACTTCACAGTGTATGGATTGGGGCTGATCTGAAGTCTATATATTGGGGCTGATCTGAAGTGTATGGATCTATATCTATATATCGGGGCTGACCATACACTTCAGATCAGCCCCAATATATAGACTTCAGATCAGCCCCAATCCCTACACTTCAGATCAACCCCAATCCATACACTTCACATCAACCCCAATCCATATACTTCACATCAACCCCAATCCATACACTTCACATCAACCCCAATCCATACACTTCACATCAGCCTCAATATATACACTTCACATCAGCCCCAATATATAGACTTCAGATCAGCTCCAATTCATACACTTCAGACATCAGATCAGCCACAATCCATACACTTCAGATCAGCCCCAATATATAGACTTCAGATCAGCTCCAATCCATACACTTCAGACATCAGATCAGCCCCAATCCATACACTTCAGATCAGCCCCAATATATAGACTTCAGATCAGCCCCAATGTATAGACTTCAGATCAGCCCCAATATATAGACTTCAGATCAGCCCCAATATATACACTTCACATCAGCCCCGATATATACACTTCACATCAGCCCCAATCCATACACTTCACATCAGCCCCAATCCATACACTTCACATCAGCCCCAATCCATACACTTCACATCAGCCCCAATCCATACACTTCAGACATCAGATCGGCCCCAATCCATACACTTCACATCAGCCCCAATCCATACACTTCAGATCAACCCCAATCCATACACTTCACATCAACCCCAATCCATACACTTCACATCAACCCCAATCCATACACTTCACATCAACCCCAATCCATATACTTCACATCAACCCCAATCCATACACTTCACATCAACCCCAATCCATACACTTCACATCAACCCCAAT